TTCTTCATTAGTCATGTTGTGAAAGAAGAATCAGAACAAAAGGGGAAAACCAGGAGAGAAAAAAACAAAAAAGAAGTGAAATAGTGTGCCTTGATCTGCATTCAGACTCCATAGTTCTTTCTCTGGATGTGGTTGGCATTTTCTAGAACAAGTCTTTTGGAATTATCTCAGATCATTGTATTGCTGAGAAGAGCTAAGTCTATCATAGTTGATCTTTATACGATGTGGCTGTTACCAGGTACAATGTTCTCCTGGTTCTGCTCACTTTACTCAGCATCGCTTCATGTAAGTCTTTCCAGATTTTTCTGAAATCTATCTGGATTTTGGGGCAATAGTATTCTGTTATATTTATATATCACAACTTGTTCAGCCATTCCCCAGTTGATGGGCATCGCCTCGATTTCCAATTCTTTGCCACCACAAAGAGAGCTGCCATAAACAATTTTTGTACATTTTTCCCATTCTTATGATCTCTTTGGGATACAGACCTAGCAATGGTGGTCAAAGGGTATGCACATTTTCATAGCCCTTTGGGCATAGTTCTAAATTGCTCTCCACAATGGTTGGATCAGTTATGACTCCACCAGCTGTGCATTTGTGTCCCAATTTTCCCATATCTTCTCCAACAGTTATCATTTTCCTTTTCTGTCATATTAGTCAATCTGATAGGTGTGAGGTGGTACCTCAAGAGTTGTTTTAATTTGCATTTCTCTAATCAATCTTGATTTAGAGCATTTTTTCATATGACTAGATGGCTTTAATTTCTTTATCTGAAAACTGCCTGTTTTGTATCCTTTGACCATTTATCAATTGGGGAATGACTTGTATTCCACAGTACCACTTACCTTTCACTGTGTGGCTAGGGGACATTCCTAGACAAACTAGGATTGGAGAGTATCACAGGAGATAAGATAGAGAATTAGAAGGCTTTTGTACAAAGTCAGTGAAGCTGCAGAGGAAGGGCTATAGTTCTTCAGATCCAGAGATCTTTGGGATTATAGACATTTGATAATCGAGGGACATTGTGCCTACTTCAGGCCATCACTCAGAGGTCTTGGGGTTTCACCCCCCTGCCCTGTAAATTGGAAAAACAAAACAAGTAGTAGCAGCGTGACGGGTGTGGGGCAGGTAGGGGCTGTATTGGCCATCACCTTTCTTTCTCCCAGCAGTTCCCTTACTGGGCATATACCTCGGGACAAGGTGAGAGCCCATCGACGGGGGAATGACTATACAGCTATGGTATAAGACTAAGTCACGTCAGCAAGCAATTTGTTTTGCTTTTTTTTGGTGAGGCAGTCGGGGTTAAGTGACTTGCCCAGGGTCACACAGCTAGTAAATGTCGGGTGTCTGAGACTGGATTTGAACTCAGAGTTCTATCCACTGCGCCACCTAGCTGCCCCAGCGAGCAATTATTAAGTGCCTACTGTGCCAGGCTCTATGCTAAGCTCTGAGAACAAAAGTGCCCCTACCCCTCTCCTCCCCAACCGGTCCCTGCCCTCAAGGAGCCCAGTATGCTATAACAACCAAAAAGCCGCCAGGCCTTTCCAGTCCCCCGCTGTCTGGCCTGCCTTCTCCCTAAGTTTGTGTTTTGGGAGTCGGCTTTTTGAAGCCAAGAGTAGCACTGGACATGTATCCCTCTTCCATCTGTTGTCTCTGTTGGGGCCCGCTGGTCTGGTCTGGTAAGAGCCTGTTGAACACTGTCTCTGCAGCTGTCGGCTGTCGCACCTGTGTGGGATCTGCTCGCTGTCTGTGGGCGAGGCCGTGGCGCAGGGCCAGCGCAGCTGACCTGAGGCTCTCCCGGGGAGCCCTCGTGCCAGATGTGTGTTGAGCCGTCAGCAAATCGGGCTCGGTTTCGAGTCCTGGGCGCCGTGATGAGCGCGCGTGTTTCCTTGCAGGTTCTCTTCATCGCTGATGAAGTGCAGACGGGGTTAGCCAGAACTGGGAGGTGGCTGGCCGTTGATCACGAAAGCGTCCGGCCTGACATCGTCCTCCTTGGCAAGGCCCTTTCAGGAGGCTTGTACCCGGTAAGCTTCCTCTGCTCCCTGTCCCTGAGCACTGAAGTCCTGCAGGCGGACGAAGCGGCGGCTGAGCTCTGGCTCCAGCCGGCGTGCAGGGCAGATGCGTGCCAGGACAAGCAGGTGGCTGTGTCCGTCAGAGTTCGTAGTGAAATTTAATCAGTTTGGACGTCTTGCTTGGAAAATTCATGGGAGCTGGGGTGGTTTCTGTTGTTTGTGATTGGAAGAAAGGGTGATCAAACACAGGATGTGTAGACGGGGAATTTCAGAATGAAATAAATGCTTTCTAGTGTCTTTGGAAGGTCATTAGCATGTTCTGAAATGCAGCAGATCTGCTGAATAGGCTAAGACCCACCTGCGTGCAGGGGCGTGGTTTCTGCAGAGACCCTTCCTCCTCCTCCTCAGTCTTCTTCGAAGTGGAAAGTCAACCTATAAATTTGGGGAATCTTTAGGACCAGTGAGCCATGTCCAAAAGATGGTTCCTTGAGCTTGTCCTGTTCGATCGTTTGGGGTATCACCCTACAGCTGCCCTCTAATGTTTGGTCTCATCCACAGGTACTTTGACCTGTGTATGCCAGGAGCACTGGGTCTGAAGACACTTTTGTAATGCCCTCTTTCCTTCTAGGTATCGGCTGTGTTATGTGATGATGAAATTATGCTGACCATTAAGCCCGGGGAGCATGGGTCGACTTACGGAGGCAATCCACTGGCCTGCCGGGTGGCCATGGCGTCCCTGGAGGTATGAGCGCACCTGAGCACACTGGCTTCCTCTCCTTTCACCCTGGAAGGCGTGTTGAGTGTTTCAAAGTTGGCGTTCCGGCTGCTGCCTTAAAGTAAAATTATTATCAAGGAAGTTGAAGTACCAGAAGTAGAAAATGTGAAAAGGCCGACAGACTTAGATTTATAAGTGATGAGATATGGGGCCAGTGATGAGGCCCCACAGTCTTGGCTTGGGAGGCAGCATTCTAGGAGCTCTTTAAGGCCTCAGCCCAGGTCTAGAGCTTGGTTCTAAAGCTCGTAGTTTAGTAGAAGATTTTGTTGTTGTCGTTGAGTCATTTCTGTTGTGTCCTACTCTGTGTGACCCCATTTGGGGTTTTCTTGGCAGGGATGCTGGAGTAGGTTGCCGTTTCATTCTCTAGCTCATCTTACAGATGAGGAAACTGAGGGAAACGGGGTTAAGTGACTTACCCTGCACCACCTTGGTGCCCCAACAGATAGCTAATCCAAAGTAATACTTGATAAATGCATAAGAGAGCTACAAGCAAAGGGTGTGCCAGGAGAGAGAAGGGGGCGGCCTTAGGGAAGAGGAATGAGCTAGTTAGCAGATTTAGGGAAAACAAGGCAGTTGGGTGGATGCTCCAAGCACCTGGAAAAAGAGTTGTGTGGAGGGAGGAGCCCAGTGATTGTGGAGCAGCTGAGTGAGCGGTGGCCAGACCTGTGGGCGACGGGCACGGAGCTCACCTTCCCTCCCCATGCCCGTCTGACTGGTCCCTTTTCTTCTGTCTTGTCTTCTCCCACATGATTGCACTCCGGAGTCTGGGCCCTCATTTATATGTGGGTGTGGGTGTTTTTAAAAGGTTTTGGAAGAGGAGGAGCTGGCTAAAAATGCAGATGTGATGGGGAACATCTTAAGGAAGGAACTGATGAAATTGCCTTCTGATGTTGTAACTGCGGTAAGAGGAAAAGGGTTGTTAAATGCCATCGTCATCAGAGAAACTCAAGGTATGGACAATGGAAATGTGGCTGCTTTGGGTTTGATGTTTTTTTTCAGAAAGAGCTAAAATTTAGAAACAATTTGTTAATCATGTAAATGGCATCTGAAGTTCGGCTGTGTTTGAAATGAGCATAACTTAGCTAACCCATCCACTGACCTTGAGTGTTAGCTCTTATGTTAAAATTTTTACATAGAAATCCTTAGATCATAAGGTGGAAGCTTTTGTTTCTCATTTCTAATTGTATATTCGCTTATCCTGTTTCATTCACTTTTGTGCCATAGCCTTGAGAGAGCCTGGGGCTTAACGAAGCAGTGTCCAATAATTTGGGGTCAGTTCTGTCAATCATCAGCATTTTCAGGAAGGAATTCTGCTGCCATCTTGTTTTTGTGGCACTCTTAAAGTCAGACTTTCATCTCTCTTCCACTAGTTTTTTTTTTTTTAGGCAATTGGGGTTAAGTAACTTGCTCAGGGTCACACATCTAGCAAGCGTCAAGTGTTTGGTCTGAGGCCGGATTTGAACTCAGGTCCTCCTGACTTCAGGGCTCTATCCACTGCGCCACCTAGCTGCCCTTCCACTAGTTTTTAAAGAAGTTTTCAACGGTATAAAACATCTAAACCCTGTAAAAGAGAAGGTTTAATGCTAGTACTCCCGTGAGGTGGGCACATGAGGTAGAAATGTGCGTGCCCAAAGAAAGCCGGCTGGGTGCCTCCTAGTCACCTGAGCCTGGCAAACCCAGTTTGCTGATATGCTGTCTGGTCAGTCCTGGCTCTTGTTGAGCCTGGCTGTCTTCTGTCTTCTCCCCACCTCTCTCCTGTTTTGTGTGTCTCCACATTCCTCAGCCTTTGTGGTTAGGTCTGTCACTTTTTAAAGTCCATGTGTGCAGGAGGTGTGGACTCTGCCCAGCCTCTGAGAGTGAGGTCCCCTAGCTGTCCTACATGTTTAGAGCAGGTTGGGCTTTGCCCTTGAGACAGGGCAGTCTCCAGATCAGATCTTGATCTTGAAGACGAAGTGGAGGAGAGTGGCCTTTGCTCACTGATACCAGGAATCTTTGAGCTCTTGTTTTCTCTTCAGATTGGGATGCTTGGAAAGTGTGTCTGCGGCTTCGTGACAACGGACTTCTGGCCAAACCCACCCACAGGCACATCATCAGGCTGGCGCCCCCCCTGGTGATCAAGGAGGACGAGATCCGCGAGTCCGTGGAAATTATCAACAAGACCATCTTGTCTTTCTGAAGGTTGTTCCTTTCCCGTGGTGGTCAGTAGCTGGCTCGAGGCAGGGGGTGCATTTATGTGCTGAAAGCCTCTGCTGTCAGGGCGAGCGGGATCCACTCCCATGTGTCTTAAAGAACTCATTTTTTTAGTTCATCTAGAATAGAGCAAAAATTGAATCACCTGCAGTTTGCCGTTTACTGTAACTGAGAGATTCTATTCAATTAACTGTATTGTCTTCTTTCTAAGCTAAATGGCTGGCTTATATTTGTGTGCTCACATCTTTAAAAGTGCTGGAAGTGTTGGCCACCGAGCCTGAAATGTCATGTATGTGTGCATTTTTATAATTTTGCCTTTTGAGAAAGGCACAAAAAACTTTTATATTTGAAACTTTTAACTCCAGGGAGGTTAAGTGGAAGATTCATTGAAGGTGAATCAGGAAAGGCCAGTAGCACACACGTGTGGTGATGTTTGGTCACAAACTTGATCGTCTAATGCTAAGATGGGCCGTCAGCAGTTGGCTGGAGAAGGCGGGAGTGTGTGGGCCTGGGTCTGGGTTGACTCGAACAGTGTGTCATTGCCTGGCATTCTCATCTCTTTATTTTGTGTTTGACTGTCTTTTTAGAGCAGCGTGGAGAACAGTCCGCTATAGTCTGCCATTCTAAAACTGTTGCCTTTTCTGAAGCTTCGAAATTGTGTTTACAGTAAAATAAAGCCTTTATTTAAGCATTGCCACCTCAGTCCTTTTTGTCTTAGCTTTATTGGCCCTTCTGGAATGTTGGCTTCTGCTGGAGAGCCTGGGGGGAAGATGGGAGGGCTGTAATCTGGAGAAAGCCCTGTGCCCAGTGAGCGGGGCATCCAGCAGTGGAAGAAACAGTGGGAACATCCAGGTGGTCCTGGTTTGTTAGAGCCGAACCCCTTCGTTTCTTTTGGCCCTGAGCTCTTTGGGTAGCAGGAACTTCACTGTCAGGGGTAGGATTGGTTCTGGGGGCCCTTCGCTTGGCCTGATGAGCCTGTCCCACCATCGATGGACATTTCATACTCTGAGCGGGCAGTGGACACGTGACTGTCAGACTTGAGGTCACTCTGCCCCCTTCCCATAGTCCATTTATTTCTTTACCCATCTGTTCTACCCTGCCTCTATTCCTTGGGCCCGGCCAGTAGTGTTTGAGGGTGCTTTGAGATCCCGGGAGGGAAGAGTTGGGCCTATACCAAGTGGAGAGAGAGGAACAGGAATGGGAAAAAGGAAAACCCCTATTAAATAGTGGGACTAATTTTCTTGGGATTAATGATCACCTGTCTCTAAGCCATTTCAAGCAGAGATTCCCCCAAACCTTCATGCGTGGCATCATTTGTTGTTTGAACAGCCCTGTGAAGCACATTCTACTCACCCCATTTTCCAGAGGAGCAAACAGACTTGGACTGAGTGACTTGCTTGGGGTCCCAGCCCAAAAGTATCTGCACCAGGATTTGAACCTGGGTCTTGACCTCCAAATCCAGGGCTCTGGACACACACCCTGCTGTAAAGGACATTGAGTCCTTTAGCTAAATAAGTTTGAGGTGTTTGAGGAGAGGGGAGAGAGGTTTCTCCATCAGTGGCTGGTGCCAAAGCTGTAAAAGGGCTGATAAAGGGAAACCGTGGAGGCTAGCCAGCCACCTGCCCTGCCTCAGACTGGTGGCTGCTGGGCAAAGAGTGGCAGACAGGAAACGATGCTTGGGTTAGTTTGAGCGGGCTTCAGGCAGCTGGGCCTTTTGGGGAGCTCACTTCTGGCAGACTGTTCAGGGGCTTCTGGTGGGTTGGTCCTGGCCCATTGACGTTGACATTGACACCCATTGTCTGCTGCAGTCTGAGGAACAGGTGGCCTTGACAGAAGGGTAGCTTGTCTGAGGTACTCATGGAGGGTGGCTCCGCTCTGCCCCCCCACCCCATTCTCATTTACGCCCATGAATTCAGTGCCTCCCAGATCTGCATACCCGAACCCAGTCCTTTCCCAATTGGCTGCTCTTTGCTACTTTATGATCTCCAGAAGCTCACATCCTACAAGATGACACGGACTCCTCAGTACCCTGTTTCTCTGAGAGGAGAGGGGGGAGGGTGGACATCCCACATCCTCCATTGGAGGAGGATGCCCAGCGCAGCCATCTCAGTTTCCCACCTAGCTTCATTAGCCCTCATTACCCTCTGTCCCACCCCTCCCCTGCATTTCAGCTTCTTATGGTTTAGACTGCCAGCTTCTTGAGGGCAGGAACTGTCTTTTGTCTTTGTTTCTCACAGTGCCTGGCCTCTAGGTAGTTAATAAATGTTTACTGACTGAAATCTCTCCTGAAGTTCAGTCCCACATTGTCAAGATGTGTGCGGGTGACTCCTCCACATCCCGTAGATGTCTGCAGCTCCACTTGTCCAACACGGAACTTTGTCTCCTCTCTCCAGACTTGCCTGTTTCTGTTACCCTAGTTCACAACCTTGGGGTATCTTGGACTCTCCCCGCCTCCTATATTCAATCAGTTATGGAGTCTCTCCCACATCTGTCCCTTCCTGCCATAGTAATGCCCACATCATCCCCATTGCTGGATCATTGTCATAACTTCCTAAGTGGGTTTCCTGACACCAGGTTCATCGGTGCCCCCCCCCCCCATTCTGGACACACAGATGTGACCAAGTGACAGATGTGGTCTCAGAGAAGTCAAGGTTTCCAGCCTAGCCTGTGAGGCTCTCCTCTCCCCTCCAAACTCTCTCTGCCTTTCCAGACTCATGCATTGGAGGGGTCACTGCAGCCTCGGTTATCTACGCTGCCTCCAGACATCTCACCCAGACCTGCTGCCCTCCCTCAGCTTCCAGTTCTGTAAATTGAATCAAAGCTGCACTTGCTGCCTTCTGTTTTACCAAACCTTTCTGGGCCTCAGTTTCCTAACCTGTCAAATGAGCAGCATTGTGCCTGTAGTGGCTACCTAGCAGAGTGGCTGTGAGGCTTAGGTTGTAAGGCAAGCTTTCAAGTCCTGTGTGAATGCTGATTATCCCTGGACCCTTTCAGTTGCGCTGCAGTCCCCGAGGCTCCTCAGCCAGGGGGCCACCAGTGAAGGGAAGCATCCATGACGCCCAGGCAGCCCCCGCCCAGGCTAGTGAAGGGTTGGCTCTAACAGCCCCTGAAAACCCGCCTCTGCTGCCCTCTGCTGCTCACACTTGGATTCTCAGTCTAGCTGCTTAATGTGCTCACTCTCCATATCAAAGCAACCAAAGGAGGGCTTCTCAATCTTTTCTGTGTCCTACGCCCCTTTTGCAGCCTGCTGAATCCCCTGGGACCCTTCCCAAAAAAAGGTTTTTAAGGTCATAAAATAAAATGTGTAGGACATACATATATACTATACATATATACATACCTATAGCACACATATATACATACATACTGTACATATATACATGCTTGCATATATGCTACACATATACCTACATATACTACACATATACATAGATACTATCCATATATACCAACATATATACATAGACATATATATTACACACATATATACATACATATATAATACACATATATAAATATGTATACTGATATTTTTGTGATGGTAAATTAAGCCCTCTTTTATCTCACTTCTTACCCAGCCCTTAGTCATTGAATGGCATTGCCACAGACAAACTGAGGCCTGGGAAAGACCTTCACGTAGAAAGGCCAAAGTCACCCGCTGCATCCCGGGCCATCGCCAGTCGTCTTGCCTTTCGTCCTTCCCTTAGATGTCTAGGCTCTGCAGGAGTGAGGCTGATGACTGTGGCTCTGCCTCACTTCAATCCAATTGATGCAATTTCAGTCAAGACATCACCCTCGTGATGTCACTGGTCCTCTTCTAGAACCAAGGATGAACATCCAGCTGTATAGTAGGTGCTTAATAAATGCTCATGGACTTGCAAGTTTGGCCCTACAGGGCGTTGTTTGGACAGGGGAGCGCTGAGGTGCAGATGAAATGGGTAGGCATATAGCGATACTGCACCATGTTTCGTGCTTCAATGTTTTAAGTTTCAATTTCTTAGCAGAGTAGAGCAAGAATTATGAATTACTTTGTCATGGTTGGGGCTGGTGGCTTTTTCCGCCTCTGCAGGGAGAAAGGCCGGGCAGGTGGTAGCTTGGGGTTCTTTCAGCTCTCAGGTCCTATAGCAGGTGCCCAGCAAAGATCTTGTATCGTTGTATAGGATTCAGCGCTGGAAAGGACCTTAGAGATCACAAATACAATCTCCCTGTTTTATGGAGAAGGAAGGAGAGGCTTGGAAAGGAGAAGTGAGGATTCCAGGTCACTCAGGCAGTAAGATCCAGAGCCTGGATTTGAGCCAGATCCTCAGACTTCCAAGGTCTAGTGCTTTTCACATTGTACCAGGTTAAAGTGACTTGCCCAGCGATAGTGGCTGTTTATAAAGCTACTGAAAAATTTTAAAATGAATGGATGAAAAAGCATTTATTAAGAGCTTATCACATGCTAGCATTGTGGTAAGTGCTGGGAATATAAAGAGAATATTGAGATTAGACCCTATTCTCAAGAAACTCACATTCTATCAGGGAAAGACAACAAAAGACATGATAAGTGGAGAAGTGTGCATTTGTGGGGGGATCGATGGTAAGGTCCAGTGGTTGGCTTGGAGTGTAGAGGGAAAGATAGACTTGCACACTAACATATCTATTTTTTTTAGTGTTATTTTCATTAATAAGACCAAATTGTTGATCCAATCGACAAATCGTGAGAACTTATTTTTCTGGATGTTTAACAGCCATGAATGATGTGAAATCAGCTGCTGGTCTAGTCCCTAAATGGTGTTGAAAGGAAAATTTTTCATTTCGACTTTACACTCTGATTAATGAGGCAAAACTCAGGATGCAGAGAATAAAAAGGGGTGTATTATAAGCACATCAAGGTAGCAACACATTGATGGAATAGTTTCAAGGTGGGCCCAGCTTTTATTGGGAACTTTAAAGACAATTCCAATAGGTCCACCTGAGCAAAAGAGGCTGGGTCCTTGCATCTCAGCTCCTTCTGAAGGTAGCAAGCCTGTGACAATTTGCAGGTAAGGTACATATGTCACAGGGGGGGGTGTCTGACAAATAGCAGGTAATACAAAAGTGGTATTCTGGGTGATGGCTCCTCCAATGCTGATTGAGAAGCAGGGCTGGGAACAATGGGAAACTGAGTCAACATAACTTTTAGTAATGGGTTGCTCATTTGATCTTCAGAATAACCTGTGAAATAGGCACTGGAGATGTTATGATCTTGTATAGGTGAGGAAACTAAGTCTGGGTAATTGATTTGTCTGATTTGTCCTGGCTAGTAAGTTGAAGGCTGGGACTCAACCTTGGTCCTCAGATTCTAAATCCAGATCCCCCCCCTCCCCCCTTCCATTCTACCCCTTCCTGTCTTATTCTAGAAGCACTTGTTTGTTTGAGGGGAAGCATTTCATTTTCATATGATCCAAATTATTTACTTTACTTCTTGCAATTGCTTCT